AGCTGGCAAATTATTATTGGTTCACACTTATATATATATACTGATATCATTGTATTGAGTTGGTTTAGATGAATAATAACAAACTTTGCCTTCTCATTGCTTCTTCTTTCTGTTACTGTTTCTTCTTCTTTCTGTTACTGCTACTGCTTCTTTTCTATCAGATGATCTTCCTATGATTATGAAGATTTTCTCTTGATCGGAAGGATCCCAATGTGATATAACCCAAGTTATGAGTGTTTTGGAACAGTTCACCTCTGATCAGAACATTTTTGAGATTTCTTGAATGCTAAGTATTTGTGACTAAAACTGTCCTTTTTGAAAAATAATTCTAATGCAACGCTGATGCAAGTTTTAAAATAAAAAATTGTTATAAAGAACAAATGTGGTGTGTACGGCGGATAATATTTGGCCATGAGGTTAGCATGAATGAAAGTGGAATCAGAAGATCCTACCTACGACGACGAGGAGTTCCCTGGAGATTGTTGGAACGAAAAAGATGAAGTTAAAGAGAATTCCAGAGAAATCTTCAAAGAGGTAACAGCTTCGAATTGTTTATGTTATCTCCTACTTCTTCTCTTTCTTTAGTCTCTAGGATTATTTACCACTGATTGGTGAGGTTATTGTTGCTCTGCGTGAGGGAAGAGTGATATCAGAGAGAGTGTATTGAGAAAGAATTGAGAGGTTTTTTTGGGGAGTGTTGTGGAACGTGATTGGTGATGATTTCTAGAATTGTGATTGAGTGAGAATGAAAATGAGTTTTGTTGTGGAATTGAAGGGTGATGAATGTGATTTATAGAGGTTGAGACGAGTAACAGACTTGGATAGGGTCTTAACTCTGTTAGATTCTCAAGTGGAAATTGGTTAGATGTTAATAACGGTGTTAGTGTCTGTTGGGAGTTAGTTTTTAGATGGAAGTTAGCAGTTAAGTTAGTTATAGTCTGTTAGACATTTCAGTTAGGGTTAGTTCAAAACAGTTAGCTTGTTAGAAGACTTTCAAGTTAGTTGCATTGATTAACTATGTCAAGTTATGCCTTTGAAATTAGTTAGTGCAAAATTCGAAGCCAAGTCGAAATTATGTCAGTTAGTGCTGAATCCGAGTGGAATTAGGTTAGCACAATTCAAGTTGGTTAACTGTTAGTGTTAATGGAATTAAATGGAACTATTATCTTCCTGTCAGGGCAATTACACTAATTTCGCATTTGAAAATTAGTTAGAAATTGGTTAAACTATAGTTATTTGTTAATAGTACATCATTTTATTTACATTGACAGGTGGTGTATGAAATAGAAAAACTACCTTACAGTGGGATCTTTACAATGATAGTTCGAATTGGAAATGAACTGATTTGGAATGTAACAAAAATGTGAATCAAAGCTATGCTATTAACAGTGTCAAAAGTTTGTTAAAGTGGCAAATTTGTACTTCAGTTAGTAGGATTAATTGTAGGCACTTAGGTTAGTTTGTGAAATGAGTTAGTTATGAAGTTAAGTTGTTAGTTTAATTGAAAAAGTTGTAAACTGGTTGTTAGGGAGTATTATCAAATCAATTAGCAGCATGTTAGCTAGTGAATTGGATGGATGGAATTGTGGCTACTTATTGTAATCATGTTAGTGAAAATTGTTTGCAGATTTGAAAGACTTGTTATGTTGTTTTAATTAGGGATGAAGTGAGTTGTGGGTTTGAAACTGAACTGTTATAAATGTGGTGAAACAGTTGGATAAAAAATGATTAGTTATGGTATTGTGTATTGTTAGAAACTAGTGTTACTTGAAGGCTAAGTAATTTGGTGTAGCAATTGTGTGTATGCAAATCAACATGAATATGTATGGCTGTTTGGATTTTGAATGATGGCTGGTTTGTATGAAATGCTATGAATGTGATTTTTTGGTGAATTCATGAATTGATGATGTCTATGCATTGATATTGATGTATGAAACGGGATGTGAATGTGTGGCCTGACTTCTAATTATATGTTTGTGTGATTGTAGGCTTGGCCAAGGCAAGGCATGGAAGTTTGGTGGGTGAAGCTTGGGCATACTTGAAGAATAAGAAGAAACAACAACGATAATTGTAACTATTTGGAATAGGTCTAGTGTAGAGGTTTGACTTTGGTCATCTGGTTGACAAAGAAGTCAACAGTAGGCCAAAGTTTGCATTTGTGTGTAAGTTTTGAATTTGTAATGAATTGTAATGTAATATGGATATTTAAAATTTCGATGACTTTGGAATGAAAAAAAAGGTTTTGTAATCTTGTTTTGATGAGTTTCCTCCAAATTTGTGGCCTTGTATCAATCTTGTGCAAACAAAACTTGAATCTTGAATTTGAAATTAGACTTGCAATGTCTTAAATGAACTTTGAGTAACAATGGCTTGTCTTGAATCCAATCCAATGAAATCCACTGCAAACATCCATAAATGGTTGGAATGATCCTTGTAAATCCTGGTCAACTACAAACCTAATGCAACACATAAGAGCTATGACTGCTAAAATTCAACAATTAGGGTTTCATGAATCCTGGTTCACAAAGTAAGTTTCTCCACTTGAGTACACCACCCAAGACACCTAGGTTTGATTCTTGAAAAACCCCTAATTTCCTGTCAACTATAAGTAACACAACTTTGAATTCATGATACTTGTTTCTTTAGAAAATGTTAATGTAAATGGATGATATGAATGTACCTGGCATGAATGTATATAGATGAATCAAAAACCAAAACTCAGATGAAAACGAAAAGGAAGGGTAAATTTTGAGGTATGACACTTGTGTCATCTCGTTTCAAGTTCCTAATCCTTTGTTGGTATGTGTCATTTCTTTCGCATATCATTGTTGCAAATGCGTGTCTTCTATCTGAGCCATTGTCGGACCTTTCAATTACAACGCCAAACCCCGATTTTTCGGCCTTCCTACATTTAGCATATGTTCATGAACAATATACACTTCTTTATTTGTAAATTATGAATGAACATCTACCTCGACAACAACCAATCGAGCACCGGTGTAACATCATCATTCGCTTCATCCTGTTGAACATCATTCATTTCTTCTGGTTTAACATCATGCTTTACTTCGACCGATTTAACATCCACACTCAGAATAACTTTAAGAAACATATTTGAATGCAACATATCTATTACCACCAATAAGAGAAATGCACTGATACATTTCAAATTATCAGGACAATCTAGAGATGTACATCCGGACCACACCTAACTTCATCCGGAAATGCATCTCTGGACTTAACATTCATTTTCAGCTTAAAAACAAAGATTAATACAAAGAATGAGAGATGAAATGAATGATCTTTACATGCAGTTTCAGCTTGTTTTGGTCCCTTTGAAGTGATAAAATACAATAATGATGTTTTGGTGTTAAAAAGTTGATTGAAAATAAGATAAATTTTTCAAGGGTTTTAGAATGGTTTCTTTGTTTTAGTATGAAGAAGCTCATGAAAGATGGTGTTTTATAAACTTTTTCGCTAGGTATTTTCGAAGATGCGTCTTTGTAAATATAACTGAGTTGTTATTTAAATCATTTACGTAAATAACAAAACCACATAAGTGAGTGCAAAAGTTATTTCAGAAATGCATATTTGAATCCGCCCAAATAGGATACGAAGATGTATTTCAAGATCGTATTTTTTTAAAATTAATGTGAAACTCAAAAAAGAGAATTTAATGTGATTTTTAGTCGTTCGAAGATACATATCTAGATGCACGAAGAACAATTTCATATTTTCAAAAGTGTGGTATGCAAATATAAGGTGGAAAGAATAATGCTCAGTTCTAAGAGTTTGTTTGGCAATACACAAAAAAGAGATTTTAGCTTATAGCTTATACCTTTCCATCTCATATTAATGAAAAAAATTTGTGTGGTAAGTGTCTTTTACCTTTTAGTTTATAGCTTTTTTACTAGTTTTTAGCTTTTTTTTTGAAAAGCTATTTGAAGTAGCTTTTGAGCTTATAGTTTTTAGCTTATGACTTTTTCTTCCATTTGTACCATCACTATTTTATCAAAAACTCATTTTTACCCTTTGTATTATTATCATTCAAATTAAAATAATTGTCATTATTTGTACCGGACAAATTCACAATATAATTCATCTTCCATTTTGTTATTAATGGAATATTTTGACTCATTACAATGAATTTTTTTATTACTTTTGAATTATTATTTTTATTATTTTTAATGTATTATTTTTATAAATATGATAATGAGTGATTGAATATATTTGTTTATTAGTATGCATATTATAGATTTTGTGAGAAAAAAAGAGAGAATGAAGTGTGCACTTTATTAAAATATAAGATCAAATTACAATTTTATTATTTTAGATATTTAAATTTCATTACAAAATTTATATATAAGTGTTTAATATATTTGTGTTATGTTTGATTTTATATTTATATTTAAAATATTTTACATTTGATTGGTAATACGTTTATTTTTATTGAATAATAATTAATTTAATAAATAGGACTACTAATTTTTTAATTAAGAATGTTCTTTTATGTTATTTTGTATTTATCAGCTAGTGTAACCGCTAATTTATCAAACACTCAAATTAGCTTATTAGCTAAAAATCATCAACTATCCGTTTTCAGCTTTGAGTTAATTTTACCAAACATAACTTAATTGGATGAGGATTATGTCAAGGTCCTTTCCTCCACAAATAACATGTTTAAAACCATTCTAAAGTCATGTTTAAAACGATAACATAAATAAAATGTGAGCCTTTTTACTCTTATGATAAATTCATTGAACCAAGGCATCACATAATCTATCACATTAGAAAGAGGGAATGCACAGTTACACTCGATAGAAGTAAAAGAAGTTCCTGAGTAATGGTGGACTGTTGAGTATTCCTTCAAATATTTCGAAATGAAAAAAAAATTACAACCAAAGTTTAAAAGGTTACTTCACAACACATTTGATGGAAAGGAAAAAGTGTTACTTAATTAAAGTTACCATCACTACAATTAACAGCTTAAAACAGCTATATTAACAGTCCTGTTGGAAAACATGAACTTTGAAAACTAAATCTTCCTTGTTTATCAGTTCGAAGACGCAAACATCTCCTGGTTGCACCCCACTTTCCCTTGCAAAAGACAGCCAACCAGCGGAAAGACAACGGTTGGTGTTATTATTGTAACAACGAAGCAACATCAGATTCCAGGATCTTTTACCAACTTGCAGCTTCACATTCTTGTTCTTGTTCTCAATAATCCCTGAGAAATTTGGTGCACTCTGCATTGTATAAATATTTTAATTATCAATCATTATCATTATAATCTATAACCACATGTATGCATGCATAGCATTGCATGAATATTATACCAGACGTTTTGCAGCCAGATTAGCAGGCTTGATCAAAATTGTGAAAAAGGGATTGCTTGAGATAAATTCTTCAGCTACTTGCCGAGCTCTAGATTCGTATGGCCTATTCAATGATGTAGTTCTTTGACTAATATGCTCAATCTCACCTGCACATATGAAATATCATGTATAAAACAAAAACAAAAAAACACTCTTGAAGTAACATCATGTTGAGATTTTGAATAGTCGTAATATAACACAGAAGGTCTAGTAGAATAAAAAACAGAAAATGAAATCCAAATACCTTTAACTTTTTTAAGTGGTCTAGTAGAAGCTAATGTTGACCGCTGTTTAGCCTTCTTCGGAAAATGCCATTCATTCAAAATCTCAACTGATTCATCATCACTATGGTCAAGGTTTACAAAATTGTCACATGAAGAATCATAATCAATTTCTACTCCATTATGGCCAATTATTACTACATCTAACACTGAAGTTCCTTCTTTATATTTAAACACTACCAAACAACCATGTCGTAGAGAGTAATTTTGAGTAAAATTTTTCCAACCCTCTTGAAACCAAACCTCTCCGTTGATGTTTCTCCAAATCACTTTCCATTTGGTGCCATCAGGAGGCTTGATCGTCACTGGATTTGGTAGACCAGCTCCGTGACTCCTTGTAAACTTGTTTGGTATTTTCTGTAAAAAATATTAATATTAGAACTAGAAATTTCAAATAAAATGGTAAAATAAATATGGCATAACTTATGTGTGGTTGTATGGTAGAAATATGTAGTAGACGTAAATTAAAAGGAAAGGTTACAATAGTTTGAAGATTGGTTTGAAGAATAATCTTGAAGAAACAGATGGGAAGGGCGGAATTTGCTCTAGCCATGGATGATGGAGTTTGATGAATAATCTTGGAGAATAATGCGTGTCTCTTCTTCTGTACTTATAGGAGTAATAATAATTAATAAAGCAGAAGCTAGCAAGTATGCGCTTCAATTTCTCCAATGACGGACTAGTAAGAGTGCAAGCAAAACTCTTCATTTACTTGTGGTTATCATTAACCTACCTACCTAATCTCATTATCACGTCTCTCCGCCCCTTTTCATATATATATATATATATATATATATATATATATATATATATATATATATATATATATATATATATATATATATATATATATATATATATATATATATATATATATATATATAACATTTGTTGATTGATATATTATTAGTTGATAAAGATTGCATATAACTTTGTTGATTGAATACATGCTTACAAAACAAAATTTACTAACTACAGTTTTCGATTATGTCGAATACATACTTACACACCTCGACATACATGTTGTATTGAATTTCGTCGAATATAACTTACTCTTACTTAGTTTACTTTGACTATGTTGTCTAATACAATTATGTCGAATATAACTTTCCTACTAAAACAATGAATTACATCTTCTAACACACCTATTAATTCATGTTCTTAAGGTTTCTCATTCCAATACTTCTCTTCAATTCATCAAACATGACTTTTTTCAAGGGCATGGTGAGTATATCAGCTAACTATCGTTCTGACTTGCAATGCTTAAGTTCAAACTTTCCTTTATTTACTTGGTCCCTAAGAAAATGATGCCTCATTTTTATGTGCTTACTTTGACCACGACACACTGAATGCTTTTCCATGTTGATAAATGACTTGTTATCGACAAACAACTTAATTTTCTTAGATTACATGATCCTGAGCTCTTCGAATAACATCTCTATCCATGTTGCTTGACATGCTGCATATAATGCAGCTACATACTCTGCTTCACAAGATGACAAAACTACATTGCTCTGTTTTCTTGAAATCCGAGAGATTAAATAACCTCCAATCATGAATATGTAAACTGCAATACTCTTTTTCTCATCTTAATTTTCACTAAATTATGAGTCGGTGTAGCCATGTGCTTCTGCATTTGTGTTTGTATTATTTTTCCTTGGCATCAACACACCATGATCAATTGTACCTTTTAAGTATCTCAACACTCTCTTGACTGCAATGAGATGACATTCTTGTGGCTTCTCCATGAATATGCTCAACAATCCGACACTTTGACAAATATTTAGCCTAATGTTGCATAGATACCTTAAGGATCCAATGATTTCTTGTATAATTTTGCACTTTCAATTTCATCATTTGTATCCTTTCTTAATTTTGCTCCAGTCTCTAATGGTGTTACAATTGAATTATTGTTACTCATCTTGAACCTTTTTAATATATCTTGGTCATACTTCTTTTGGTGCATAAACACTCATTCACTTGTGTCTTTAAACTCCATCCCTAAGAAATATGAAAACTTTCATAGGTTGGACATTTCAAATTTCTGCATCAGTTTTGACTTCACGCTTTTTATTTATGCTCTGTCTGCACCTGTAATCATCATGTTATCCACATATAAGCATATATGACTCGACTGAGGTTGCTTGTCTTTTTGACATACATTCAATGTTCTAAGACTTATTTTGTGAAACCTGACTTAATCAGGAAGTTATTATTCCAAGCTCTTGGGGCTTACTTCAAACCAATGAGAGCCTTCCTCAATCTATACCCCTGTCATTGATTTTGAATCCTGGTGGTTGACAGACATAGAACTCTTTTTTGAATGGTCTACTCAGAAATGTTTACTTTACATGTAATTGATGTATCTTCCATCCTTTGTATGTTGCGATCGACACAACAATTCTGATGGTTTTCAATCTTGCAGCGGGTGCATAGACTTCGTCAAAGTCGATACCAAGTTTTTGGAAAAAACCTCTTGCCATTATTTTTTCTTATGCTTGACAATTTGACCATTTGGCCTTAGTTTGAACTTGTAGACCCACTTCACATTAATTAGCTTCTTGATTGACTTTCCTACAAGTACACAGGTCTTATTTTTTTCAATTTCCTCGAGTTCTTCTTGCATGATTTCCAACCAATTTGAATCACTCATGGCTTGATCCAAATTAATTGGTTATGATTCATCCATCGTCATCACTTCCTCTATGAAGTCATGGTCTATATCGATTGCTTAATCTAGAAATATCTCATATCCATCTAGCCTTGTCGACTTAGTTTTTTTGTAGTAGATCTTCTAACATTCTACTTAAGTGGCTCATCATTTTGATTGGTTGTGAATTCATTTTGTTGATCTTCTTCAATGACAATTGTGATTGTATCTTACTCATGTCGAGTTGGCCCCTAATGTGAATTCCACCTTTTGCTTTCGCCGACCAGAAAATCCTTATTGATCATTAATTTATCATCATTAGGTGAATATAACTTGTATGCACCAGTCAAATGATAATATATGAGCATCATGGCCTGACTTCAATCATCTAGCCTCCTCAATTCTTTAGGTACATATCTGAAACACATTGATCCAAAAATTTTAAGATAACTAAAATTTTGCTTCAGTCCTATCCAAACCTCATAAGGTGTTTTCTCGACTATCTTCTTGGTTGAACATATGTTTAGAATGTATAATGTTGTTGAAGATACTTCACCCTGAAATCTCCTCTCATCTATACCATTGTGTTGAGGTGTATAGGGTGCAATGACCTTATGCTTTATAGATTCCTCATTGCAAAACCTTGCAAATACTCTAGAAGTGTAGTCACCTCCATAATCAGTTCTTATTTTCTTTGACTTGCGTGAAGGAATCATCGGGAAACACCAAGGGGAAAAGGCACTAGCAAAGAAGGTTCTAAGAGTAGGGTATTACTAGTCAACCATGGTCTAAGATGCCTAAGAATATTTGAAAAAATGAAACCATTATCAAATACATGAAGATTTTTTCAATGCCCCGACCACCGAACTACACATATTGACATCACCATGGCCATTTTTGTAGTGAGGTGATGGATATACTCAGACTCTTCGCCCTGGTTTCGAAACAACTCAGGTGCCTTATTGTAGATGTAGATTATTTCACTAAATAGATTGAGGTCGTGGCATTGACTAATATCACATCATCAAACATTGTAAAATTCTTCAAGAGGGTATTGGATAGGTTGGGGGGCCTTATACTATTGTCGTACCCTAATTTTTGATCCTAAGATTCTGTATTTTTTGCTTTGCATCATCTGCATAACATATCATGCATTTCATCTAGCATAATACCCAATTTATCAGCTGAAATAAACTTGTTGGAATTAAAGACAAACCAGTGTAAAATTATTTCAAAATCTGACCCGATGCTATATTTTTTCCAATATGTTTATTTCACGCTGATTATTTTGGTGTGTTCATTTTATTTTTTCGAGCACTTTTCTGCCTGACTTTTTATTTCGTTTTTAATCATTTTTATTTAAATAATCATTAAATTTATTTAGATTTAATTAGATATTTAATGTAAATTTTTATTTTTAATTTATTTATTAATATTTTCTTTTTAAAAAACATAAGAACATAATTTTTAATTCTTCTTATTCTTGTCTTATTATAAAAAACACAAACAATATAATTTTTAATTCTTTTTATTATTGTCTTACCATAAAAAACAAAAAAACATGATTTTTAATTTCTTTTATTCTTGTTTTGTCATAAAAAACACAAAAACATGATTTTTAATTCCTTTTATTCTTGTCTTATTATAAAAAATAAAAAAACATATCATTCTTTTCTATTTTATAGTCCTATATATATATATATATATATATATATATATATATATATATATATATATATATATATATATATATATATATATATATATATATATATATATATATATATATATATATATATATATATATATATATATATATATATATATATATATATATATATATATATATATATATATATATATATATGCATTAGAAAAAACAAGCAATCAGACACAAAAAAAGAGAAAAAAATAACAAGAAAAAGGCAGAAAAAAGTTCAAAAATACACACACATACAAGAGATAGAAAAAAATAGAATAATAAGGAAAAAGACTAACACTAAGAAGTTGGAGTTCGATATTTCCGACGCGCACAAACCGTTTTCGACAACCGCCACATCTGAAGTCGACACCCTCCTCCGCAGGATCTGCCGTGACTCCCCAATTGGTAAATTTTCTTAGTTTTTCTTGTTTTTTTATGATTAGTTGTTGTAATAATTTATGTTATTCCTGATGTTGGATTTATGTGAAAAAATGAGGATGCGATTTGTGAAGTGTTATTTTGTTGATTTGAGAATTGAGAGAGGGAAAAGAACTGGGTGTGAAGGAAATGAGTGCTCTTATGTTTATATGTTCTAAAAAGTATTTTTTTTTTTACTTTAATTTTGGAAGAGTCAATAATGCTTGCCACTTATTATTATACCAATTATTATTATTATTAAATTAATTTAGAGAAATTGATGTGGCCCATGTGAGTTTCACTTGTGAGAAAAATGGAAAAACCTATACACTCTTACATTTTTACATGTGTCTTTCCTAGTCCATACATTTTGTTTTTTCTCCTTCCATTTATTACTTTATTATTATTATTATTATTATTATTATTATTATTATTATTATTATTATTATTATTATTATTATTATTATTATTATTATTATTATTATTATTATTTTGGTTAAGATGATTATTAATAGTTGATGAAATGAAACCCATTAGTTCTTTCTTCCTACACACCTTCAACTATTATATGCGTCTTTGAGTTCATTTATTTTATTTGTCTGATTTTTTTTATTATGGCTATTTTTTTTTATATTATAAAAATATTAAAAATAAAAAAAACAAATAAATAATTGATATTTTAGGTTAAGACCATATTGGGACAAATTATGGATTATTAGGGAAATTAGAGACTAATCCTTCTTAGGACAATTAGGGTTCACAATTCATAAATAAAAATCCAAAA